CCTGGTTTTAGTGGGTGCTTTTAAGAATATATCTCAATTTAAAAAAAATATTTTTGGTAAATATTTACCACTACAAATCTTCTTTGTCACTGGGATTATCTGTACTAGGAAATTTAAGAAGCTATGACAACTGCTGCTGTTAGGAACCTCTTTCTGTTTTCAGGAAGAGCTACAATAGTCTACTTAAATAAAGAAGAAACATCCATCTAACTGTGCTGTTGAAGTTTGTCTCAAGGTTTCATTCATTTCATTTTATGAAACTGTTGATGTTTAGGTATCAGTATTCAACTACAAATATTGGTGGAAGAATGAAGTTAAATGACACCTGTGCACTATATGCCTGATCACCTGCCAGGACTAAAAATGGATAGGCTAGTGGGTTTAGGAATAACATACGCTAAGTACTGGTCATTGACCAGTGAGCAGACACTTTTGATCCCTGTTTAAGATGCTGCTTCCTGGCAGGGTAGATAAAAATGAGTTTCCTACCAAAAAAAAAAAAGGAAGGTCAGTACCTGATCCTGTTCTTTCTCTCTGAGGAGGTGCTGGTATGCTTATAAACAGGGCTCAACAAATATGCTTATCTACTCGCCCATGGCGAGTAGATTTCAGCCGGTCGCCCCATTCACCGGTGGTCCACACATGCATGGTATGGGGCTGGCGAGTGGCCTTCTCCGCAATCGTCGAGCCCTGCTTATAAAAACAGATTTTTTTTTCGGAGGATAAGGCAATACGCAGCATTTATTAAAAATGCTGAACCAGTGTTAAAATCAGTACAAGTTCAACCTCCCAAATCTAGGACTCTCTGATCTGGCAACATCCATGGTCCAGCATGGTTGTTGCTGGACCAAATAGCCGCAGGTGCAGGAGCCAGCCGAAGAGAACGCAGGGTGTACGGAGTCCCAGCTGAGCCAGCAGCATCTAGGCAGGGGAACCCCAGTGTCAGCAGTGCCAGGCAGCATTGAGGAGCTCGCTTCCCTCCTCGCCCCCAGGGAATCCCAGTGTCAGTGAGGCCAGGTGGCTGGAGAGCCCCTGGTAGCAGGGCCAGTGCCAGCGGAGAACCCTCCCCCCCCGGAGCAGCGGGGCTAGGATGGCCAGGCAGCTCTGACCAGGAAACCCCAGGCTGCAGTGGGGCCAGGCAGTGGCTCAGGAGCTTCAGCTGGGGAACCCTGGCAGGAGGGTCAGGCAGGAGCCGGTGAGTCCTGGCTCCAATAGGAGAACCCCAGCTTCAGTGGAGTCAGGTAACCAGAAAGCCCCTGGCAGCAGAGCTAGCAGTGGCCAGGGATCCCTGGAAAACTCTCGGCAGCAGCAGGGGCCCACGGTGACTGGGCAGCCCAGGGCTGGGAAACCCCAAGGAACTGCTGGAGGTAGCAGGCTGGTGGTGGCCAGTTGGAACCTCCAGCGCAGCCTGCGGGGAATTTCAGCTGGGCCAGCTTTAATGGGGCAGCGGCCCAGTGGGGAGCCCCAGGGAGAGGAGCTGTCAGCAGGCATCCAGCAGAGGAGCCTTCACCTTCCCTGATCCGGCAAATTCCTTGGTCCGGGATGGCTCAGGTCCTGAGGGTGCCGGACTAGGGAGGTCTAACCTGTATATGCAGATACAGTCTCTCTCACACACACCCATCAGTAGCTTCTGCAATTGGTGTTGTAGTTACCTGTCCTTATTGCCTGAGTCACTCTAGTGGCAGATACTGAACACAAGTGAGAGCCGGGCCTCTGTTGGACTCATACTAAAGCTCCATTGTTTCAGAACAAACCCAAAGTCCCTTGGGTCTCGCCCACTTTTTAAAGTAACAGATTTTCATGTAGGCCTGTGGACTTTGCTGTGTCATGCTTGGATCATTAATCATAAACTGGCTCTTTTCACAGTTTTCTATCATTGGCATTTTGTTTTAACAGCCATCCTCCATCTTATCTCATATCTTGTTGATTTAAGGCAAATGCCCTTTGCACTTTAGGGTCATCACTGGCTATCAGAGTCTCAGGATGATGATGCTAGCATCTTCATTTCTGTCTTTTGTAATTTGTTGGTGTCTTTTCTACTCACATACCACACACGTACCTTATTTACACACCGAACATGTACCTCTTTCACACACAACAGGATGATGATTTCAGAAGCAAACTTCATATAAGACAACAATTCTATCAAGGCAGAACAGAACAAAGCAATCTTCAGTGTTACTAAATCAATATATTAATTTACATTGACAGTTCCGTCAGATGAACTGATTTTAGTACAGGTTTATCATAAACTAAGGTAAACATTTAATTCCCAAAACTATTTTAACATAGAGGGCAGTGTGCTTAAATTAACTCTTTCAAGCCTCCAAACTACAAGTTATGAGGCAAGGCCTCCGGTTAAAGCAAGAAAACTGGTGGATCACCAACAGGAGTTTGGGGAGTTTTCCCCATAGAGGAACAGACAGAAAAGAGGATTCCCAAAATGGTTAATGTAAGAACTTACTGATTTTGTTTTTTTATCTTCAAGCTGGTTTAGGTGAATTCAGAATTCGAGACTTGAATGATGAAATTAATAAACTCCTAAGAGAAAAGGGACACTGGGAGGTTCGGATAAGAGAGCTGGGAGGTCCTGATTATGCAGTAAGTATAAAACAACTGTGTTGGCAAACATCTCTGCAGTTAACTGTGAATAGCTAGCAAAGTGAAAACCCATCAACCCAAGACTTGAAAATTTAATCTGTTGTATATTGGATGACTAGTGTTTCATAGTGCATAATACAGATGTATTAAACACGTTTGGTTACTTTTTCCCAGTGTCTAGTATTTCAATGTTAACAAATTTTATTCAACCTCTAAACATGCTGAATAGCATGTTAGATAAAATAGTGATGACCTATCTTTCTCCCCTCTCCAGGTTCTGAAAATGACTATTTGATTACTTTCTTTCAGCACTGGGTTGATAAGATAAGGCTAAGGCTATTAGTACTTTTTGTTCCAAATCCAAAAAGATGCACAGACTCCATTTGTCACTGTCTGTGGTGCCACTGTCCTGCATCATGTCAGTCAGTGTGTAAAGGTGTTTATCAGAGAGCAAATACCCTAACTGGTTATGAATCATTTGACTTTTGACTTTAAGGTCTCTGAGACAAAATCAATTGTAATTTGTGCTAATTTATATACCTCTTTTATTGAAACATAGACTGGTAAGGAATCATGTAGGATACCAGATAGTAAACTTGTATATGGGATTTTATTGCCATTTTGTTTCTATGCTCTAAAATCCAGCATGTGGGGTGAGTAGGTAAGTCCGAGTGTGGGTCAGAGTCATGTTTTGCACAGTCCTTCTAACTGCTTGGTACTCAGTAAAAGAGAGAACATTTTCTCTTTTGGAGGAAAAAAGAAAAGATTGTTGTATGGGTTGCTACTCCAGAATCATCTGACACAGATAGAGAGCAGTTTTTTTAGCCTAGTAAACCAGAGCATGGATAATGCTAATTAATATAGGGAAGGAAAAATAACAATGGATTGGAGCAAAATTATTTTTATCTGCTTTCTTTTTAAAGAGAGTTGGTCCTAAAATGCTAGATCACGAAGGAAAGGAAGTTCCAGGAAACAGGGGTTACAAATACTTTGGAGCCGCTAAAGATTTACCAGGTGTCAGAGAGCTCTTTGAAAAGGAACGTAAGTAACTTTATCTGCTTTTCAGAGTTTTGTTATTTCTGTAGTGATGTTATTTCTAGAAGCGAAGTTTCTAATGCTTCAAAATTATGACGCTTTCAGTCAGAGTAATATCAGAATAATTTCTCAGTGGGTACGTCTACACTTGCACCCTAATTCGAATGAGGGATGCAAATGTAGGCGACCGAAATTGCTAATGAAGCGGGGATTTAAATATTCCACGCTTCATTAGTATAATCTTGCCCATGTGCTATTCTGATTGCCAGCTGATTCGAACCAGGAAGTGCGTTCCGGGCCACGTTAGTTCATTTTTTGAGGAGTAATGTTAGTTCGAACCAAGGGGTTTGATTCGAACTAATGCAGCCCAGGGCTCACTTCCTGATTCAAATGAGTTGGCGATCAGAAAAGCGTGCAGGCGAGATTATGCTAATGAAGCACGGGATGATCTCTGTAATAACGAGGAGTCCTGTGGCACCTTATAGACTAACAGATTTATTGGAGCATAAGCTTTCGTGGGCAAAGATCAACTTCGTCTTTGCTCCAGAATCCCCCTGTGTATGTCTGTGCTACAATAAAACACTCACAGAAGTGCCCAAACTGCAGGGCTTTAGTGTAGAGGTTTGGGCTCAGGCTGGCACATGGGCTCTGGGATGTATCCTCCCCCATGCAGTGTTCCCTAGCCTGAATCTCCGCACTGCAGTTTTATAGCCCCCGAACCTGTGTGTCTGAGTCAGCTAACATGGGTCAGCTGCATTTGTTTTCATTGCAGTGTAGATATAATCACAGAGGGTTATGTGGGATTTCCCTTTCAACTTTTAGATATTGTCATCCGGTGCTGAAGTAGGGATTGTACTACCCAAAGAAAAACTACGTGCCAGAAGCACTTGTTGACAATGAGGCTGGTATCAACCTAAAGAAACCTGCCCGAAAGTGGAAGCTGATGGGAATGCGGAGGGTTAGGATGATGGTCAGAGAACAGCCAGTCTGAATGCAGTTCAGGGAAGAACATAGCAGTTCTTTGAATATTAGTGACAGCTGTTTGTGGCCATTTTAGTTTTTAAATTAGTCTGCCTTGCTTGGCAAGCAGTACAGGGTTGATGAGGGCAGGAGCAGCTGTTGATATTAGTACAGTCTTTTTTGGAGGGGGTATGGTTGAGAGTTTGATGATCACTTGTTCCTTCAGCCCTCCCTCCTCCAAGGAAGACTCGAGCTGAGCTCATGAAAGCGATTGATGCGGAGTATTATGGCTACAGGGATGAAGATGATGGTGTCTTGGAGCCATTGGAACAGGAACATGAAAAACAAGGTATGTGAGATCAAAAATGTCCTATATCAACTGGGTGCAGCTTCATATAAGGTTGTTTCTGGTGACCCCAGCTTGTTACACATAATCTATAATTTGAAGAGGGTTACTAGAGCAGAAGCGATTTTTTTTTTTAATCCTTTTCTTTAAAATGCTTCATTGCTTTTTTCCCTTCGGTATTTTGTAGATCTTCATTGTACATAGTTTTACCTACAATGAACGAATAGTATGCTTATTTTTTATATGTTTTTAACTTAAAGTACTGTAATGCTCTTTGATAGGGTTAGGGTAGGAAGAGACCTTGAGGAGGTCATTTAGTCCAACTCCCTGTTCAAAGCAGGATCAGTCCCAACTAAATTATTCCAGCCAGGGCTTTGTCATGCCTGGTCTTAAAATCCTCTAAAAATGGATATTTCACCACCTCCCTAGACAACCCGTTCAAGTGCTCTACCACTCTCCTAGTGAAACAGTTTTTCCTAATATCCAAACTAGATCTCCCCCAGTGCAGTTTTGAGACCACTGCTACTTGTTCTGTCATCTGTTATCACTGATAACAGCCTGTCTCTATCCTCTTTGGAACCCTCCTTCAGGCAGCTGAAGGCTGCTCTCAAATCCCCCCTCACTCTTCTCTTCTGCAGACTAAGCCCAGTTCCCTCAGCCTCTCTTCATAAATCATGTTCCCCAGCCTCCTAATCATTTTTCTTGCCCTTAGTTGAACTCTCTCCAGGAATGTGTTTTTGTTGTTCCATTTAACTTCTTTGCTCCTATTGAAAAGGATAGTTAAGGGAAGCAGATGTTTTTGGGTTACTCTTTCTGGATGTTTCTTGCTAAAATTTCAATGTACAGCCAGTCTCCGAGTTACGAACAAGTTACAGACCAACACTTGGTCCGTAACTTGAACTGTTCATAACTCGGACCCCATTGAGTTACACATGACCATGCTGTTCGTAAGCGTGGGTTGCGTTCGTAACGCGGGGACCGCCTTTACAACTGCTCCATGGGAGCTTTGGTCGTAAGTGCGAATGGTCATAACTCGACCGTTCACAACTCGGGGAGCGGCTGTAAAACTTTGGCAATCTTTGATTTAGTTAAGCAAAAATAAAATTCAGGAAAACTACCATATTTTCATTTAAAGGGGGGGTGCAATCTCTCTCATTCCTCCATCTGCTTCCAAACAAGTGTCTAGCGGCAAGGATACCTTTCCCCTGGAGCTAAGTCGTCCTGATGAAAGAGACACAAGACTGGGAGTCAGGACATCTAGGTACTAAATCTCATGCTGTCACAGACTTTGGACACAGACTTTGGGTTTGAAATAGTGATGTTAAATATCGGTTAATTGAATAGTCGATTAACTTCATGAATTCTTATCAGTTAGTTGACTGTTCTGTAGTCCCTGGGCAGCCCCTGTCCAGGGGTGGATGGTAGGGATCTGACCTCCCGGACCCAACATGAGCTGGAACTAAGCCAGCTGCCTTCTTATCTGGCTCCTAATACACTTTCAATGCAGAGCTGCAGTGGGGGTAGGTCCAGGACCCAGTGCAAGCCGGGACTGAGCCGGGCTGCTGGCCAGCCTGCTAAAAAATTTACTGGCAAGGGGTGGGGAGGAAATGCATGTAGTCTATAGCATTAACCTATAAGCTTTTGCTTATCCGTTAAGCGACTATACTGTTACGTCCCTAGTTTGAAGTAGAGCAATAGGGAGACGGCTGTCATCTGAGAGAGCATTTGGGAGGTCAGTAGTTTGAGCATTGGCCTGCTAAACCCAGGCTTGTGAGTTCAATCCTTGAGGGGGCTTTTTAGGGATCTGGGGTAAATCTGTCAGGGATGGTGCTTGGTTCTGCTGTGAAGGCAGGGGACTGGACTCGATGACCTCTCAAGGTCCCTTCCAGCTGTATGAGATAAGCAGGGCTCACCGAGCCCAGCATGTGCAGATTGCCCAAACCCAGCTCTTCCAGGATGTAATCTACTCACCACGGGCGAGTAGATTACATAGATTGTCGAGCCCTGGAGAGAAGTATATTTCCATATTGCACTGTGGTGTAGCTATCCCACAGTGCCTGCACTGCTTTGCATTCTGGGTTATGCTCCCAGTGCACATTGGGACCAAGACACTGCAGCAGGAGGTTCTGGATTCATTTCATCAGCATCCCATAACGTGCACCCTTTTTGGCTCTGGTTACCCTCACAGACGCTATAGTAGCATGAACATGGACCCTTTCGTGGATCCCGTTCATCAAAGCATTGTGGTGATGATTACCTTGGTGCACGTAATGGTGGACTATGTTGAGAGTGTATACATAGCACTCAGGGAGGAATCTTGGGCCCGCTGTTCGTGCATGCCCTTGAGTTGAGTGAATTGGAAATGCTACTGACATTTGATTCTCTGGAAACAGTGGGACACCGGTTCCAGTGCCATCCTGCAAGCACAGACTAGTGGGACTGCATAGTGCTGCAGGTATGGGAAGAGCAGCAGCAGCTGCAAAACTTCTAAAATTCACAAGGCCGCTTTCATGGAACTTTGTAAATTGCTTTCCCCTGCCCTTGGGCAGGATCACCCAAATGAGACCACCTTTGACAGAAGCCTGTGGTAATTGCCCAGTGGAGCTTATAAAGCCAGACAGCTACGGGTCAGTTGGGAATCAATTCAGAGTGGGAAAATCTACAGTGGGGGCTGCTGTTCTACAAGTAGACAAAGCAATTAGTACCATTTTGCTATGGAGGGTAGAGCCTCTTTGAAGGATTCCATGGTCTGGCTTGGGAAGCTGGTTGGGTCCACACCTGTGGTTGAATGCTGCTGCTCGTAGAAGCAGCATGTTTGTGGCGATGCTCCAGACTGTTTGCCTCCTTCGTTTTTTGGTAGGACTGCCGCTGCACCTTTATTTGAACATGGCATTGCTGGGCATCCCTGAGATCCTTTCCAACATGCACTTTGCAATCTTTTCATAGATATTGGTGTTTCTTTTGCTAGTTCGGAGCTCCACGAGAATGGATTCCTCTCCCTGTGTCTCAATGAGGTCCAAAATCTCATTCATGCTCCATGCTGGTGCTCATTTGTGCCCCTGGGAACTGGAGCTCACAGGACTTGAACGCATGGAGCTTGTGGCCAGGTGTGCTGCTTGGTCTGAGGTGTGCCCTGCGGTGACTGCTCTGGCCAGAACTTGAGACTCTACTCCTCTCCTGGTGAACAGGGAAAAGCCCCGAGAAACTTTGATTTTCTTTCCTGCATGGACACACCATGCTGTCCATGCAGGAAACAAAATCAAAGTTTCTCGGGGCTTTTCCCTGTTCACCAGGAGAGGAGTAGAGTCTCAAGTTCTGGCCAGAGCAGTCACCGCAGGGCACTGTAGGATGCCTCTCAGAGGCCAAGAACATCGACTTTCAAAACACTGTGTCTGTACTACCATATAGTTGACCAAGCAAGATCAAATTTAGTGTTACTCCTCATGAAAAGCAAGAATACCAAATACCTGACTTTAGCAGCCCTTAAAATTGGAACAGTCTTGGTAGTGTGGACTCATTGTTGAGAAGATCAACGTTATGTGGCTAAATTCAAACTAAACTTCTAGGCCCAGTGTACACTACAACCGTACCCCCACAGTCAATTATTTAAGCGATGCGTCCACACTACCTAGCCCATTATTCTAGTTCGGGGCCATAGAATTTGAACCCTGTAGTCCTGCTTTTCGCAAGGAGTAACGCTATTCCCGACATTGCGTGTCTAGAATAACGGTCGGATAGATGTGCCCGTGCTGCTAATTTGACCTAATTGGTCTCTGGGAAGCCTTCCACAGCTGTTGGCTCTGGCCACACCTGGCATCTCCACTGCTTCCCCCCCCCCCCCCCCCCGCCGACTTTGATTACGAGGGAGATCTTGGACCTCATCCTTATGGTGCTGGTGCTTGGTTAGAAGCATTCTGCCTCAGCACTCCACCCTGGCAAAAACGTCTCCCCCCTTATTCTCACTCAGATTGTGGAACACACAACAGGCCACCGCCATGAAGGAGATGTTACACTCGCTGAGGCCCGGCAGGTGAGGAGACTCCGGAACCTCCCCTTTAAATGAGGGAGATCTTGGACCTCATCCTTATGGTGCTGGTGCTTGGTTAGAAGCATTCTGCCTCAGCACTCCACCCTGGCAAAAACGTCTCCCCCCTTATTCTCACTCAGATTGTGGAACACACAACAGGCCACCGCCATGAAGGAGATGTTACACTCGCTGAGGCCCGGCAGGTGAGGAGACTCCGGAACCTCCCCTTTAAATGCCCGAACGTGCATTCCATCACCATTCTGCACCTGCTCAGCCCGGTGTTGAACTCCTCCTTGCTGGGCTCCAGGCTGCCTATGGAGGGCTTCATGAGCTAGGGGAGCAAGGCCAGGCTGCGTCACCCAGGATCAGACTGGGCATGTCCACCTCCTTGACTCTGATTGTCCGGTGAGGGGGAAAAGTGCCGGCATGCTTCTTTCTGAAGAGCCATGAGTTTCGAAAGATGTGCACGTCATGCACCTTTCTCAGCCATCCAGCATTGATGTCAGTGAAGTGTTCCTTGTGATCCACAAGGGCCTGCAGCACCCTGGAGAAGTACTCCTTGTGGTTGATGTGTTCCCAGGCACGGTGGTTGGGAGCCAGGATTGGGATGTGTGTTCCATCTATGACCACTACCACCCAGTTAGGGAAGCCCATGTCGGCAAAGCCATCCACAATGATGTCCACGTTGCTCAGAGTGGTGATCCTCTGTAATAGGACATGGTTGATGGCCTTAGCTACTTGACAAGCACAGCCCTGACTAGATTTCCCAGCCTGAACTGATTCCCAACTGAGTAGTAGCTGTCTGGAGTGGCAATGATCACACACTTCTGCACGGTGAGAGCAGGTCTCGTGGGTGTCCTGTTGCCTGAGGGCAGGGATGAGCCACTCGCAGAGTTCGAGGAAGATTGCCTTGCGCATGTGGAAGTTCTGCAGCCACTGCTGATCATCCCATCTCTGACGATGCTGTCCCACCAGT